TTTTCACAGTGACTTGATGTTAGAAAAGCAAAGTTCTAGTTTCAAGAACGTCTACTATAAGTAAGGATTAAGTGACACAGAGTGTGTATTAGAGGTTTTTATTAAATTAGCTTGTATCACTCAGTGCTAACCAGTCAGATGTAATATAATTCATACATATCTGTGGGTGTGTGTGTGTGTGTGTGTGTGTGTGTGTGTGTGTGTGTGCGCGCGCGCGCGCTCACCGATGTGTGTATGGTATGCCTTGGTTCACAAATGCTTCTGTTGACAAACAAATCAATTTGCCAACAGAAGCTTTCTGCAAAATTGTGCTTCCATTCATGAACACCACATCTGGTGTGTGACCATCTTACCCAGAACTGTGGGGCAAATTATCTTCATGTGCCATGATAATCACATACATATATATCTCCCAATAGACAGATGATCATATGTCTGTACGTGGAGTTAAGAGTTAGGCTTACAATGGCTGCCTGAAGAGTCAGGTGTGGAAGGGCAAAAGGGCTGTCTGCTCCCTGGAGTTTCAAAGGATCCAGGTGAAATTCAGTGCACTGGAAGGCTACAGGGTCTGCCATGCCAGGCTTAGGAATCTGCACTGGAAGAAAGGAGAGAATATGTCCAAAGTGGAGGCAAAGGCTACATCCTGTGAAGAAACAGAAGCCAGGCTTCCTTTGTTACCCTTCTTATTCCATTCATCATACAGGCCTGTGGATTGGTGCCACTGACAGCCAGGGTGGGTCTTCTGTCTTCAGTAAATCTATTTAGCCTAGCCACAGTCAGAAGTATACAATGCAAGCATTTCGGGGTTTCTAACTCAAGTTGACACAACAGTTAACTATCACAGCTATGACATAAACCCTTCTAACTCACTTAGAGTCAGGTTCCATGCAATGTGCTCTGACTGCAATTTGACAGAGGCTCACTTGAAATGAAAACACATAATATTTATCAACATAGACATGGAGCTAATCACCGAGCACCAAGGATGTTGATTTTGTTTTTTATTCTTTTTTTTACCAGGAGTTGAATTGAGGATCTTGTGCTTGCCAATTAGGTGTGTAATACTGAGCTATATCCCAGGCCACAAAGGATGATGGAAAAAAAAAAAAAAACCAAAAAACACATGAGAAAAGGATAGATACTGTTAAAATGTATTAAGCAAGTTGTGTTATTTTCAGGTATCTTTATACCTCTGGACACAGCTATTTTGCTGCAGTGAAGGAGGAACTGAGAGAAAAGACTGCCAACCCCACAGACAAAGATGGCTCATGGAAATTACTGTGAGGTTGGCCTGGCGCAGATTCATTCCTGCTTCATGTGGAACCAGCAAGGGCTAAGCACCTGGGCAGGAACCTGATTACAAGGTTAGACAGGCAGAAGTCAAACCAAAGCACTGGCCATTGTTTAGTGTGACCATTGTAACCTAGCCTTCCTTGAATCCTGATCCGGGAGCAGCAGACAGGCCAGCTTCTCAGGCAGCTGAGAAACCAGCTGAGTCCCAGAGGAAGCTGCACCTTGCACCTGTTAATAATCAAGAGTCACTCAATGCTGAGTTCAGTGTGAGGGGTGAAGTGATTCAGGAGCAGTGGGCAGCTCTTTGCCCTCAGGAGTGTAAGGCAATCCGAGTTTTCACAAACCTGGGCCTCTTGGGATTGCTAGTGTGTTAGGTTCTACACTGAATATAACTTGGATAATTGTGAAAATGGAATCTTTTGTGGCAAGAGAGTAGTGAATACTTGATATCATGCAGTGTATTTCACTAATTAATTTTAGAGCACTACTTAGAAGAATGAATAAAATATTAATCATTGTTAGCTCTCTTTTCTGGAAAGACTTTTATGACATACATTAAATACATATTACTGTGTTCAATTGTTTGTATTTTGACAAATGAGGATGCTCTAGTAACACCACCCCAACCAAGATGTAGTTAAAACACCTTCCGTATTCTATTGCCTTCCAATCAATAACCATTGCATGTATTTACTTAAATTTATCTTTTGGTAATTAATATATTTGTTGATGTGGTTTATAATGACCTTTTAACTACAAATTACAGTACTATTGGTCTGACCTAGAAATACAGTTTAACTTGATTTCTAAAGCTTTGCTAGAGTCACTTATCTCTTTTTTGTAAGTGTTTCATACATTCCTTAGAATTTTCTAACTGCATGGTGGTGTTATATCTGAACAAAGTTTATTTACTAACTTTGTTTGCCATCTGTGTGTTTTTGATTTAATTTCTGGTATTATTGCATGGGTTACGATCTCCCCAAAAGTGTTTAATGGAAGGGATGTGGCTGAACCACCCTGACTTGTTTCCAGTCTTGATGAACGACACTCAGTTCTCCACAATTAAGAATGATATTTCCTGGGGTATTTCAGAGCTGCCCTTGATCACGTTGAGAATATTTGCTTTTATTTCAAGAAGTTAAGAATTTTTACCAGAAAGTTTAATTTTGCCAAATATTTTTGTTTTCTATCAAAATGTTTATGTAATTTTTAGTTCATGAATATGGTGAAATCATTGTTTTTCAAATGTGTGCATTTATGGTACAAGACCTATCTAGTCACTAGGTTTTAATTTTTATACTGTACTGTTAATTTTATTTGTCTTGATTGTTTTGGACTTCTTTATCTGTGCTTATAGGTTGTGTTGCTCTGTAACCCTACTTTCTTATAACGTGTTTGATTTTGCTAAGTGCTAGCTTCATAAAATAAATTGGGTAGTAGGCTTTCCTGACATACTTTCTGAAGGAGTTTGTCTAGGACTAGTGGTATTTTTCCCAAAATTTTCAAGTTGATAAATTTGATGGTTTTTACCCTGATGTTACCTGGGATCATAGTTTTCTGTGTTGAAATATTTTTGATCAATTACGCATGCAAATTTTTATGTACATAGATACAGTATGTTTGGGTTTTCGCTTTCCTTGTGTGTAATATTAATATTGTTTTTAAAAAATGTTCTCCTTACCTGCCATTGTCTTTATTTGTGTAAATGTGCTTTCCTATTGGGGTGTCATTTTGTATTTCTCTAATGAATAATGATGTGAAGAACATTTTTCCATATCCCTTATCCGTTTCCATGTATGCCTTTCTATATGCACATTGATTCTTTTACCTAGTTTTTCCTGCTTTCCTCTGTGAACTTTAGGGATGCTCCTAAACTTGATACAGATATCATGAAATTAATTATATTCTGTCCTGCACTTGATCCTTTGTATTATTCTTATAAACACTGTCATCACTAGTATTATATCCTTTTCATTTGTTGACTTGGCGTGGTAGTGTAAGTCTGTAACCCCAGCACTGGTGAGGCTAAGGAAGGAGGATTATTGCACGTTCAAGACCAGAATGGGCTACGAAATGAGTTTAAGGACAGCCTGAACTGCATAGTCAAACCCTGTCTCAAAAGACAAAAAGAAAAGAAAAAAAGAAAAGAAAAGAAAAGACAGAGAGAGAGAGATGAAAAGGGCTAGATAACATTCTTGTCAGTTTTAAGATTTAGGAATATCTTTATCAAAGACTTGCAAATATTGTCCTTCAAATGCTATCAGCAAGCAAATTGGGCCCCATTTCAAAGGGTCTACAACTGGGTCATGGCCTAATTTAGGAACTTAAGTTACTTATGTAGGCACCTGCATTAACTTAAGTTGGAAGTAATCCTAGCAAGGCAGACTCTAATTTAGAAGCCTGTTATTATAGAGCAAAACCTTACATGTGTCCTCCCTCTATGGTCCTTTGCAGCTGGCTCCAGTCACCCTTCTAAGAGATGATAAAGGAAACCCTCTGGGAAGATAAGCTAGAGACTTAGAGCAGGGGTTCTCCCAAGCCTCAGCCAGGTATATCCTGTGTGCTCCTGAGACCATGCATCCAGAGGGAAGAGGGCCACAGACCAGGAACCTGCAGTCAGTTAGTATCAGAGGCAACACAGAGTGGAAGTTTCTTCCTACCCAGGACTCTGAGGGGAAGTCCAAGGGCTCCATGGCTGGGACATTTGTAAAATATAAGCTGTTCCACTCTATATCTGTTGCCCATGTGTAACCAACAGCACCACCTTTGCCCTCAGATGTCTGCCACTTTGAATGATAAATTGTAGGCTCACCCTCAAATATGAGAATGTACATCCCCATATTTCTTTCTGTCCTGGTGGCAATACTTTGAAAAAGCTGGTGACTTTAGAACGTGAAGTGACTTTAGAACATGAAATTTGACTGGGTGATACTGGCTCCTGCAACACACATGGTCCTGTAGGGTTTTTTTTTTTTTTTGCCTGAATCCCACAGTGTTTTTACATAGAAACAGACATATATTTAATACCTTAGGAAGATGATTTTTATATATAGAATAAGTGAATGAAAGAGTGAATGGATAAATAGATAGGTAACAACTGGATGTATTCAACCAGCCTAGCACAGAATTTCTCATTTAGTTTTCCATCTCAGTACTTGTGATTCACAAGTTTTATTATTGGGAAATCCAGAGCTTTCCCCATATTTCATGACTCAGCTGTTGCCAACTGTGAAAGTATTGTAGCCAAAAAATCGGGTTCTTTCCACACATCACCTAGAGTGTGGACAGTTCATTCCCATTATGGGTTTGACTTTCATCCTCTTGCCAGCCTGCATCTACAGTGGGTGCCCAAACTCCCATGAGCAACAGAGTACCTAAACAAGCTTCCCTCGCATTCCTATTTGAATAGTCATCCAGAGATTTTGCTTCAGCTATGGACTGTTGCAAATTTTTCTTCTTTCCGCACCCTCATATGATGTTTAGATTTGACATTTTCTGAAACAATGAAGGCCTTTATCAGCCTCACGAAAGGCCTGTTTCTCTATAGAAGGCCTGTTTCAGTCAAAGATGAAAGGTATGTTTTGCTAATAGAAAAAACACAATCAGATACACAGAAAGGATTTAGAGTTCATTATGTAGCCATACAAAGACCCTCCACTGGCCACATTTTTCCCATCCGTGGGTCCATAGCCACATTCTTTGACCATTTACCAAATACCATTGCTTGAGCTATCCTGGTTTCTACTGACTATTCTGATGAGTAAGATTCTTTCTCTGGCCCTACTGGAAGCAACCACTGCACCAGCCACACATTCCTGTTTGCAAAGGAAGGAAGGGTTGCTCAGAGCCTGAGGAGAGGGGGAGGTACTGAATTTTTGTAGGGACAGGAAATGTCTGTGTGAGGCTGTGGCTTCACTGCTGGCACAGAGGTACATGGCCGAGTCTCCCAGCTGCACAGGATCAATCTTCAGATTGGAGTATGATCCTTCTGGTTTCTCTGCTGAGAATCTATCCCTGAAAAAGTCTGCCTTATCCGTGGGGGTCTTGTCAACAAGGTAAGCCATAAACTCCATTCCCTTGTCTGCAGTCTGTCGGTACCAATAGATGTACTGCTGACCAGAAATGGGGTCACATCTCAGAGTCACAGCCTGTCCCATCTCAGTGATCTTGTGTCTGGGAGTTTGCTTGACCTCTCGTGCCATGTGTCCTGTGGAGGCAGACAACAAAAAGAAAGAGGTGAAGGATTGGAAGCACCCCTAGGGAAGGCAGAATGGGAAACTGTAGGCGCTCCCAGGACTCACCTGCCCCCAGCAGCCCAAAGATCATCCAGCAGGAGAGGATACTGTCCATGGTAGGGACTCACAGGTCTGAGTCTGTCCCAGTTGTCACTCTGATTGTTAGCAGTGCAAAGGATCTGGTGATGTCACAGCCTGTGCTGCACCCACAAACTCAGGGGAGCACTGTGAAGACAGGAGCGTAAACACTATCATGGACTTCAGATGGCCCATGGTTGGAGCCAGAGTGTACTGCAATGTGTGCCTTCTGTTAAATTGGGCCACCTACAGGGCCTCCCTCATACCACAGTCTTCAGGACAGCAAGCCAGTGTATTAGACCTGAATGGAAGACCCCATTTCTGGGCACCAGTATATCTACTGGTACTGACAGACTGCAGAAAAATGAATGTAGTTTGTCGTTGTCTTATTAACAAGGAGTCCCACTGAAAAGCACACTCTTTTCTCTGATGGCCAGTGCAAAATCTCCTTGCAGTGGCTCTCAGTGCCTGAATATTTAGAATTTGAATATTACAGAAATAAACAGCGGTGAATGAACCCACAAACATCATTGAGGAAAGATAAGCCAGGCTAAAAATATCCAGGGACAGTTGAGAGCTAAGAGGGGAGCATGGACAGAGTGAGCTCCCCATTGAATGAAAGGGAGCAGACAGAGCCACATTATTAGCATCCCTAGGTTCAAAATGGGCATTTGTACAGGGGTGGAATTTGATCAAGGCTCGAGCTCAGAGACTACTGTTAAATGGAGAGAGAGAGAGAGAGAGAGAGAGAGAGAGAGAGAGAGAGAGAGAGAGAGAGAGAGAGAGATTACATAACAGCAAAGCCACTATAATGTAAAAAATGGGCTCACCTTGGGTCAGGACAAACACCCTTCCCACACACCTTGCTTTCATACTAACAGTACTTCTGCTCTAACCAGACACTGATTTTCCATCTTCCCCTAATACCTAGCTGCTTTATCATCTACTGCCTACGCAGGAGCAGAGAATCTTCCTTCTTGAGCACACTGAGACCCACGAGACCTTCACCTTCCCAGCATGAGTCTGTGTTTACCTCCACTTGTCCAGGTCCCATTAGGTAAATTGAAGTTACCTTTCTGATCCAAGCAGGCAGCCTGGCATTCTTTCCAGTCCTGCTCTCCTGGCTAGTTCCCCCCCCACACACACACACAGAAACACACACACATATACACACACATACACACACACAAAAAAACACACACATACACACACACACACACACACACAGAAACACACACATACACACACACGTGCGCGCACGCACACACACACACACACAGAAACACACACATACACACACACGTGCACGCGCGCACACACACACACACACACACACACACACACACATACACACACAGAGTGTTCCCTGAAAAACTGATACCACAGCGCTCCCAAGTGGCCAATGACCCACAGTCTCTTTGAATGCCACCTTTGAAAATTTTAGAGGAAAAAAAAAAAAAGACAAATTTATACAAAACCACACTACATAGTAAAAGAAAACAAATTCTATACCATTAAATTTAGTATGTTAAATTCATGGTAAGTCAGAATAACAGGGGTCATAAAGATAAACAATGAGGCATCTGCAAGATGGTCCATCCTGGGAACACTGCATTCCAGAGCTCCTCTCCAAGAAACACATATCTACATATTTTATATTTAATTATTATCAAATTTTAGATAGTGTGCTTTATAAAGATTGTTTCTATATTTGACATGTTTATTTCCAGATGTTTTTAGCAAGGAATAAACAATCTGGTATGGGTTAGGTCTAAATGTCCCCCCAAATCTCATGTGTTTAGAGGCGGGGTGTGAGTAAAAGAAGCTAGTGAATTCAGGCTAAAAAGTATATCCTTGTATCTGGTTCTCCCTCCTTTCTCTGCTTCCTGAATTCCCCAGGGCAAGCAGTTTTTCTCTTTCTACTCTTTCTACCACGTTTCCTGCCGTGGAACCAGCCATCTTTGGACTGAACCTCCCCCGAAATTGTGAGGCAAATAAATTTCTCCTCCTTTAAGTTTTGGGCACCATACACAATGTCTTCTAATTGCCAAGATTGTTGGGAACCTGTTATTGTGCATAAATATATTTTCTTCCGTTTTTCAATTAATTTATGGGGAGCCTTCCTAAAGGTTCCAGTTCCATTAATTCCCTAAAAACAAAGTTGTTGAAAATCATACCTGCGTTGAGGTATTTCATTGTGACGGGACTAAAAGCATGGGGGAATATTGCTATAATATTTTATTTTTGTATACCCTAGCATTAGACATAATTAAGAGACCTTCCAACTTTGGTAATCAACCATGACTACAAAATATAATTTCTCACCATATTGGAAATGTGTCACGAATGGAATATTGAGATGATTAATAATGATTGTCCATTACAACTCAGGAGAGAGGAATCCCTTACAAAAGGAAACCAGTGATGAATATTATTCCAGGACGCCATAAAAGTGATTATTAACATTTATCAATTGTATACAGTTTTATTATGAATGTGTAGTTAATAGAGCAATACCGGCCAGAGCTGCAAATGACAGAGTAACAATGAGGAGAAAGAGAGCTGTGAGCCAGACAAACAGTGTGTGTTGGGAGTGGAGAAAGGGAGATCCTTATATGCCTGGAAAGGGCAAGTACAGTAAGACAGAATGCAAAGCTGGCTGAGTTCTAGGAGAGACTGGGAAGGGCTGTGTAGGCATAGCAGGGAATTGAATCTGGGTGCTCATTGGAATAATATCCTTAGAAGACAAAATGGATCTTGGGAAAGTTGGCAAATCTTGCCTAAATATGGTTCGGATGACTTTCTTTCCTCTGTGTTTGGAGAGCACCTGACTGTTCCCTGAGGAGGCAACACTGCAGACTGATGTGAAGAAATAAGATTTCATAATCAACTCCAGGCTTCTCACTTCAGGCACCTGGTTATCTGGAGGTGTCCTCTATGAAGACTGGCTGCCAGTTGATGCCAATGTCTACAAGGCTTTGCTCTATAGTTTTGGGGTACTGAGTGTTTTGAAAGAAGAAGAGAGCCTGTGTTGCATTGAACACCACCTTAGGCCACCTGGCAACTCTATCTCTATTTTCAGCCATCTCTTCTCAGTTTTCTCTTCTTGATCTTCCTCAAATCTCAATTCACTCTCCTCCAACTATACAACAGCAACCTCTATGATGTTTCCACACACACTAAACTATTATTATACAATATTTTCTTAAAACAAAATTTCCTGTCCAGAGAAGAAGGGCTCTTACTTTATAGAATCCTCCTTTTTCAGTGTACCATTTGTGGTACACTGTTGGACAAAGTGCTTTTGTAGGGAACTGACTGAAGTAACACATGGCCTACTCAGGCTTAATTTTCCTCCTTCTATTGATGGAAAACTTTGTACTTTCTGTCAATGTAACACTATTTCTCTTTCCTACTGCACCCTCAGACTCTAGGATTCTTCCTTTCTTTCTTCTTTTCTTCATTTTTTCTTTTTTCTTTCTCTATCTTTCTTTTTCTCCCTTGTCACTCTCTTCCATCTCTGTGTCTCTCTGGGTCTCTCTGTGTCTCTGTCTCTTTTGGTCTCTCTGTGTCTTTCTCTCTCTTTAAAGGAACTGGTTCATGTTAGCTGGGTCCAAAGCACTGGGACTGACTTTGAACCACACAGTAGAATTCAGATATGACCAATCAGTGGACTGAAATTTGATCCAGTCACAAGCCTGTTGCTCCTATGTAAGTTGCACTCTTTACACACTTCTTACATTGGAACCCAATGTTCCATATCACATAACTTTTTCAGACAAAACCTTCCTCTGGTGGTCCCACAAATTTATTTGTGATTCAGTTGTCAGCAGTATAGCCTTAGAAGGTCTTGAAAATATGCTTAGGATTTTTGTCTCTAAATACTTTAGGACAAGTGGTTGAGTCAGAAAAGAGGTACAAGGGCAAATATTAGAGGCTGCCAGCCCTGAAGCCCTGAAGCCCTGAAGCCCTGAAACCCTGAAGAACTCCAGGGAGTGTCCATAGAAATCAGGAGAGAACATCAGCAGAGACAGCATGGGGACAACCAGCATTGGCTGGTGGTACCATCTGGCAATGGCAGGAGGAGCCAATGTTGACCAATAGTAACTAGTGGCTACATCTGGCAGTGATAGAGTCCATCTGTGACACTTGGTCACCTCAAGTGAAGAGCTTTAACACTAAGGACTGAGATGCACTGGGATTCAATTTCCGACGTGCCAAAAGAGGTGCTACTACCAATTACTGAATTCTATTTAAATTGCACGAAGAACCCTGGACTGATTTGCAGTACCCTAGGCCAATCCTGTCACCTGGCCAGAAACTAGTACTTCCTTGATTGTCTCAACAATGATGCCTGTGAAGTACTGATTTATTTCATAGCATCTGTAAAAGACTTGATATTACAGCTAAGTAATTACATAAAGGAGAATGTAGAACATAAGAACATCCTGTGTGTGCTCCTGAGACTGTGCATCCAGGAGAAAGAGGGCCACAGCCCAAGAAACTGAAGTCAGCCAACATCAGAGTCAAGACCTAATTGAGTTGAGTTGTCCTTGGTTCTACTGACTCATCCTAATGCATAGTGTTAATTTTCTGCCCCTACTATAAATATTCACTACACAGCTACACATCTCTTCCTCCATAGGAAGGAAGGGCTACTCAGAGTCTGGGGAGAGGAGAAGGTACTGAGTATTTGTAAGGACAGGAAATGTCTGTGTGAGGCTGTGGCTGCACTGCTGGCACGGAAATACATAGCTGATTCTCCCAGCTGCAAGAGCAGGATCTTCACAAAGGAGTATGACTCTCTGACTTCTCTGCTGAGAATTGATCCTTGAAAAAGTCTGTCTGCTCTCTGTATTCCTTGTATAAAGATAAATGATGAACTCCATTCCATTTTCTGCAGTCTGTTGTAACAATAAATGTACAGGTTACCAGAAATGGGATTACACCTCTGAGTCAAAGGCTGGACAATCTCAGTGATCTTGTGGCTTGGAGTTTGCTACCCCGGTGCCATGTGTCTGTGGAGACAGACACCAAAAAGAGAATGAGATGAAGGATTGCAAGCACCCGTAGGGAAAGGCAAATTGGAAATTGTAGGCACTCCCAAGACTCACATGCTCACGGGAGACCAAAGATCACCAAGCAGTGGAGGATTAAGTTGATGGTACAGTCTCACAGGTC